GGGGGGGGGGGGGCTTACAGAAAGTCTAAAAATTGAGACTAGAAAGTCTAAATTTGGTCTGTCTGTCTATCAATATTTAGACTTTCTAGACTATCGGGAATGACCCAATACGATGGATCCTATGATACATACATAATAAAGGTATCTTATGATACGTACGTAGGAATGGTATGTTCCTTCATTCCTTTCTTCGGAGCTTCGTACGTACGTATCGTATCCGTTGCAATAAAATTATTTGTTGTTGAAGCATAATTAAATTTACAGATTTCACTATGAGATTTAATAATATTTACCTTGAATTTTTTGTTGAGCCTAATTAAATTAAATTTATTAATAGCCTCTAGTAGAAGTACTTTGAATGGTCTTCTTCCATTGAAGACAGCAGCAATGTTAAACAACCTTCATGATTGTAGTTTTTACTAGTAGTAATATTCTTCGAAACAGGACGCACTGGCGCTTCTTGACCGTGGTCTTTGCTTCTTCAACCATGACTACTACCATTAGTACTGCTGTTCCTGTACAATTAGTACTAGTAGTGATAGCAGAATTATTATGAGGAAACAGTGTGTTACTGCTTTTGTTGCTGCTGGGCTAGATAGCTAGTAGTAGTACAACTAATAGGAAGAAGCTCATTAATCAGCAAGGATTACCACAGAACCGACTCAATGGCAAGGACGCTTGGGTCAACAAGTAGGACAATCAGGAAAGGACAAGAAGCACCACATGTCTCGTATAAGTGTGTACTACTATTGGATTTACCTCAAAACAGAGGGAGCTGAGGGCTGGGATAACAAAAAATCTGGTTCAACTGAGCACTGGAGACATTAAAAAGTGGTACACGAGAACTGGAAATCAGCTTCTGGCTTCTCTAACCGAGCAAAAGTAAGTTTTAAAAGATGGTGCGGTACTGCTAGTAGTGTTAACCTTGTTCTTGACTCCTTGTCCTCATGATGGTGCCGGGCCATTCATCCTACTACTACTGATCATAGAGATTGAATCTTCTTGCAAAATTGCTTCACAAGATTGACTACAGCAACCTGGAAGAGCCAACTGTTGAAGGTGTTCCTAAAACACCATCCTCCGTCCTTGCTGCTGCTGTTCTCACCACCAGCACACCTGATGGTGTTCAGCAGGAAATGGCCCATTAATCCATACAACATGACTTGTCGCAATGCAAACTCCAACTTCATACCAAATAGCTGGACCATTGAACTTCTCAGAATACATGTCAGTGCTAAATGGATATGGCTCATAGCATGGCCAGTCTGTCCAGTCTACAGATATCATACAGTCTGCTCTAGGCAAGTACTCCCCGTTTGGTGATTGAGGTTGACCACAGAATCTGTTCTCTCATACAATTACTTCATTCTGAAGCTCAAAGATCTTCTGCACAAAGAACCAAGACCATTTCTGAAAGGTATCAGCGTGGGGCCATCCCAATATAGAACAATGAACTTCTTCAGAGGAATAGTAATCCCCTTATGAGGTGTTTTGGTTCAGCTGTTTCTTGTTTGTTGTCAAGCGTTGGCTCAATCTGATTCCACAGGTCAGCAATGACTGCGCTTGGTGAACCAAATAAACTGGCTATACAGGCTGCCTGACCCTTACTATTCCATTCCCTGTGCACCAGCCATTGAATGATCTCTCATGCAATGTCTTCAATCATTGCAGCATCCATTGTCAACGGTGCTGCTGTTGCTTATTTTTGTGTTCTTTGCTTGCTGTTGCTGCCGCTGTTCTTGCTGCTGTCGTAGTAGTGCAATCAAAAGCAGCACTTCATTGCTGCTATAAATACTACTACTAGTAGTACCGGTAGCTGGTAGTAGTGAGACAGAAGAGCAATATATATGGGAGAGCACCAATTAACATTCAGAGTGAAATTCAATAAAATTTTCGTTGAATTTGAATAAAATGATAATTACATTAAATTTAATTAACATGTTAATTAAATTTGTTCAAGACATTAATAAGAGTTTTGTTTTGGGGACTCCCCCTAAACTAAGACCTTTAAATAAACCTTGTGCCAAACTGTTCTCAGAGAGGATAACCGTTATTTTATGAGAATGCCGTTGAAAAATTGTATGCATGCACGCAAAAAGTCATAAGAAGTACAAAATTTATTTCCCATTTAGTCTCACGGATCGTTTTTAATGTGAATTGGTGGCTCTCCAGTCTTAATTCCAACCCGCAAAGGCAAGCTGTCACAAAATAAAAAAAACATTCCAGTCAAAGGGATAACTATTTTGCACTTTTTGAGAATTCTGATTGGCAAAACGAAATTGATTTCTGGACACTGCTATTAACATGCTGGAATAAAAATCAAAATCAAACAAATCAAAATCGTTTGCAGCAATAGATTTTTCTCTGCTGACGAACATAATTCACTTACTACTACTGGGGCCCTCCTCTCTAAGGCGCTAAGTACTGGAAACTGCTGTATCACTTCAGCAACTTCACCAACTACAGGATCAGCACCATTAACTAATCTTTTCACTCCCTCCAGTACCTCAATAGGCATATTGGAAGCAACTCTCTCTTCTTCAGTCAAGCTTGCAATGAAAGACAGTGCTTGGTTCATCAATCTACCTCTCTGACTTCCACCATATGCAGTCTCCCTGATAGTTATCTGGTCCTCTTTCAGTCTCTGCAACAAAGCCTCCTTGGCATCTGTCCAATCTTCACTTTCATCCACATATCCAACAGCTTGTCTTTCTTTGTAAGAATTTTCTTTTGCTGCTTCCACTGGCACAAAACCTTCAGTGCAGAAACTTGGAGGGACTTAGCATCTTCCTCTGTCTTAACATCTTTTCTTTTGGAAGCAAAGTTCTCAATAAAACCAAGAGCTTTTTGCTGCTCAAAGCTTCTGCTACTTTTGCAGCCTTCTTCTTTGCTTCTAGTAAGTGTTTGATCTCAGTCAATTGCCTGCTTCTTCCTTTTGCAATGAACCAGTCCTTTGTGTTGAGGGTGCCTTTGCCAGTTGTGATGAAGTGCTGGCTTGAATACTTAACCCCTGCAATTGCATCTTGCTGAGCTCTGGTATTTGGTTCTGTCACTTGTTGCACCAACTGCTTACTCTTCTGTGGTGCATATTTGTGAAAAACTTCCCCATTAAAACCCAACATCGTTCAATAATTTAAGTGCTCTGGAATTCTTTTTCTTGTGTGCCACCAGTGCAGCTATGTTTAGCCCTCTGACAAAAGGATCAGTTTGTGTTGCACTTTTTCATCCTCAAGACATTTTCAGGTAAATGGATTAATGCCAATAGTGCGCCATACATCTTTGTAGTACCTCTCTACCAAAAAAGCCTTGTCAAACTACTAATGCTCCAAAACCACATTTTCATTCCAGCCATCACTTTTCCCATGAAGCAGCAATGGATAATCAGACTGCCAAAGATTATTGTTGTGTGTTTGCTGATGATACAAATGTTTTTCAAGATTCTTTTGGTATAAAGATTTGAAGTATCCATAATTTTGATCTGTATGCTGGGTAACATGGGTTGCATTTGGAACCCCAAGTTGGAGGAGAAGCCCACAAGAAGCAGCAAGGTTGTCCTGGCATTACTCTCTTTTCAGGAAAACTTGATGCATTGGGATATAACTTTACAATTGCATCCATCATGTATTTTTCAAACTCCTCCCTATCCTCCATTCCTGCACTTTTGTTGTAATTCACTGTTGCCCCATGGCTTGTGACATGAATACCACTGTGCACACCTCTAGTGTTTGAATGCAACAAACAAATGTCTCCTGAATCCACTTCTTCTCTTCCTCCATTGTCATTGATTTTAGTTGAAAATGTGGAGGGAGTGCAGTGCCTCATTTTCATTTAACCCATAGTAAAATATGACTGTGTAGAATAAGTAGAAATAGTAATACAAACTAGGAATGTGCATGCGCATGATAAAAATTAATTTTTGACAAATGGAAATACACCCTATTTACGTGGAAAACACATTTTTGACAATGGTATGATGCACCTCCTCTTTTGAATACAAATGACCAAAATATGAATGTAGCCTCAAAAACAACACTGTCTTGGATTTCTAGTCTTTATGACCAGCAGTAGAACCCAACTGATGGTAAAATCACATTGATATGCCAAAAAAAACCTCTTTCAGTAACTACTAATGCAACTATGTCAGGCACTTTCAGCACTTTATCCAATATTCATGACTGCAGTATATATTTACAATACATCTGTTAAAAAAAAACATTCCAATCACCCAAATATTGAGCTTATTCCAACAAGCACAGAGGTGCAAACTGGACATTCATTCATGGACAGAGGAAGTAATTTGAAGATAAACTTTGATTTGAAGTTAAGAACTTCAAATGTCCTAGTAGAAATTCTACTGTGTTCTACTGAGCTAGTTTTTGGATGACATTCATGATTGAAAGCCTGATTCATGATTGAATCTCCTAAAACCATCTTTTTGTTTTCAGGGGAATTGATCTGGCCATTCAGTCATTTTAAACAAAAACAGCTCAGTAGAACCTGGTACATAATGTATGAGCAAAAGTTCTTCATAACTTCAAATAAAAAATTTACAACTTCAAATTTAAAAACTGCACACTCTTCCAATCACTCTTTGAATTTCGAACTTCATGTGCACAGTAAGTGTTTCTTTTTTAAATTCAAACAGTGTGTCCTTCATATGTTTTGCCCTACTAGTGATTTGGTCATCTAATGAGAGAATTGCATATGATGTTTGAAAATGACCAGAGAGTGATTGGAGGTATTGCTGGTGTGCATGGGGTCTTGAAGGTACAATTTTTGCAGTGTTATGCTTCTAAATGAGATAAAAAAATTGTGGGAAAGTTTTTCTTAGTAGTATTGGTACCACTACGGATGGGATATTGGTTTTTTTTTCATCAGTAGGCTGCAGAACCCTTTGCAAAAACTCAGATTTGCCCTCACCTATCCATTTTACTCCCTGTTGGAGTTTAGGTTGCACTGTTGTCCATATTAGCGATACATACTACAAACCACCACCCTACCAGGGCTATACTAGTGAAAAAGCCAACAACAAAAATCAATAGTGCCAAATACCAGAAGATGTTCCTTGAAAAGGTACTGCTCCCAGCTGAAACTACTATATCTGCTTCAGCAGGTACAGCCACCACCTTTCATCATTGGTGCTATAAATTTGCTAAAACCAATCATCAAAGCTGCCACTTGTAGAATTAGTTTGATGCGTTATCCAAGATGAAGGTTTGATTTATTTCCAGGCAAGAGTAAATGAGGCCTCACACTTTGGCCGTGCTTCTGGATTTCCTTGCCCTCGATGGGACAGAGTAGAAAAATCTCTGCAATTGTTTTTGAGATTGCCTCGGGGAATGTTTCGGATTGCCTCTGGGTCTCTCGGCGGTATGGGTTTGCGACTGCCCCACTTGGTGTTTTTGCCACCAGAGACATCGCCCGTGAAACAAACGATGGAACAAAACTTCGTAGCAGTACTACTACTAGTATAGCACCGCTGGCCTTGGCCCCGATGCCACGGGCGGTTTGTTCCGACGAAATGGCTCCCCCTTCTCCGCCAGAGGCGGTTTCGTTTCGGAACAGAACGGCGTGCAGAACCGTCCCCGGAACACGCGCCGCACCGTCGTTGCGGTGCCGGTTTGCGGCTCGCTTGCCCCACCTTCTTCCTCCGAGGGGGGAAACGGAAGGCCGAGCGCCACGTCGAGGGACCAGCCGCCGTCGCTTCCGTCCCGGCCGGAGATCCCGAGCCTCCCGAACAACGCCAGATCGACCGTTTCGCCGCGGCCCGCCGCCTCCCGGATGGGTGGCTCCGCGGCGATGGCCCGCAGCCGCTGCCGCTGCCCTTTGTCGGCCCCGAGGAGGCACGCCACCGTGGCCGCGTCCAGGTGGCCGTTCACGTCCTCCGCGTTGCGGGCGGCCCCCTGGACGGAGGGGTCCGGGTCGGTGTCGTACCATCGCTCCAGGTGCACCCGTATGGGGGAGGACGACGACAGCCCGTAGCGACAATTCCCGTTTCGGTCGGAGGCGGCGTCCAGGCCGAAGGCGACCCGGAGGCGATGGCTCCCCGGCAGGGCGAAGGTAGTTTCCAACAAGATTGTGGTGGTGGTGGTCGCCGCCGCCGCGGAAGCTGCTGGTTTTGTTGCTGCTGGGGTTGCTGCTGGGCCGACAACCCTGTCTATAATACCGACACCGTTGGTCTCGTCGTTCCAGATGTGCACAATGGGGTCACTGGTGTTCCACTCGAATGCGTCGTCGTCGTTGCTGTTGCTGTTGCTCTCGCGGCACGGATGGTATTCTTCCGATCGGATGGTGTCTAGGCTGTCGAGCCCGCATCCCACGGCGGGGAGAACGGTAACGGTGCGCCTGCGAAAGAATCGAGAGGGCGCGCCGCATTTTTCTGGTGCGGGTCCTGTCAGTGTCTTTGTTTCTGTTTCTGTTTCTGCTTCTATTGCTTCCGAGACGAGAATCTCGAGGGTCTTTGGGGCCTGGCCCCAGGCAACCAACTCCTCCGGGACGAGACGAAGCGGCACCGGCAGGAGGCTGCCGTCCGCGGGAGAAAACTCGGCGAGGTGCCCCGCGAAGTGTCTGTTGGGCGCCGCCGAAACCATGGATCTGGCTTGCCCGGCCGGAAGGGAACGGAGCCCCTGGGGATGCCGTCCGGGGTACGGCGGGGACGCCGGGTGCGAAAGGGTCCGAGGGGTCCCGGTCCTCCCGAGCAATCGATGCAGATGTCCCTTGTTCCTTCCACAAACGATTCGAACCACCAAGGACGACGACGACGACGCGACCGTTCTCATGCGGGGAAGAGTGGAAGAAATATTGGTGCGGTAACGTGCTGTTTCGTGCTGTCTCGCAGGTGCTCGGCTCTTTGGATGGGTTGAACGCGCTGTTGGCCTTTCGAACAACAACTCCGATAAGAACCACACAGAAAAGGACCAACAATCTACGGCACGCAGGCTGATGCTCCTGCTGCTGCTTTTCCTCCTCCTCCTCCTGCTTTCGCTTTTCTGCCCATGTTGGACGCAGAAAAAAAGATTGAAAAAACACTCAAATCTTTTCTCGACTTTTCGAGTCGTGATCAAGCGGGACTCCTCGTTTCCCGCGCTCTATTTTGAGTTCGGTTTTATTTGAAACTGGTTACGTACCATAGCGTATCCCACAGTACCGCACAGTACCAGTAGTAGTGGAGTCACTGACAAGAAAGTACAAGTACGAGAAACGACAAGGGCACGGCATGCAGGACTACGTACCTCGACGTACGAACCGTACCGTACGATGGACCGGGTCGAAAACCCAGCTAGGACGACGAAAATGTTCGTGACAATGATGAACGGAAAGAATGGAGTTTTGTCTGCATCGTGCACATCACGTCGGAAGAGGTTCCATCGATGCCCCCCGCACAATACAATCCTATTCTATCGATTGCACGTGCTGCTAGTAACATCATCACCCGAAAGAAATCGATAGGCGAGCCGAGGCTGGAACGAAGAACGACCAGGAAAACCAGAACCAAAAAGTTCAAATACAAATACGTACCGTAGCACAAACTGTAGTGCTCCGTGCTTTGCGCTTTGTGCTTTAGTCGACAGACAACGAACCAACACAACCATGGTCTGGTCTTGTTTTTACTGCACCTACGACAACGACAACGATGCAACCACGCAGTGTGATCTCTGTGGGATGCCGGGGAATCGGGTTTCCAAAAACAAAAACAAGGCAGAGAAGGACGGGAAGGCAAAAGCCGCCCAGACCAACGCCGCCGACGTCGTCGATCTCACGACGACAAGCCCGCGAAACGGCCGGAACCAACCCCGACAAAGACCGGTTTTGGACCTCGCGTCCACCGGAAGCGATCCACTCCTGCCTTCCCGGAAACGAAAGGCTCCGTTCGGCAATGGGAGCCAGAGCAATCCTTCCGAGAGCAGAACCAAAAGCCCAAAACTCGAGGCTTGCGTTTCGAACCGAGTCTCGGTGCTCGGGAGAAGGCAACCACCGAAACCTCCCAAGCGGAGAGAACCGCAGCCACAGGCTTCCCAGAGACAGTCCACGCTTCCCTTCTCGTCCCAGTCCGGGGACTCTTCGTCGCCCTTTTCCCACGGGCACGTCTTTTGCCACACCCTGCGCAAGGCCGAGCCAGCAATCGGAGACACGGAGGTCCGGCGCGTCCTGCGGACCGTCTTTGGGCTCGAGTCCCTCCGGCCGAACCTGCAGCCCCTGGCCATCCGATGCGCCCTGGAGGGCAAGTCGCAGATGGTCGTCCTGGCGACGGGCGGGGGAAAGTCCCTCTGCTACCAGCTCCCGGCCTGCCTCCTGGGAGGCGTCACCGTCGTGATCTCGCCGCTCCTGGCCCTCATGAAGGACCAGGTGGAGGCCCTCCTGCAGAAGGGGATCCCGGCCGCCTGCATCAACAGCTCACAGACCGAAAAAGAAAACAAGGCCATCCTCGAGCGGCTGGTCCCGGCCCTGTACCCCAGGAGCCTGGGCAGAGGCACCGCCGCAACAAAAAAGACCGAGGGCGGCGGCGGCGGCAGCAGCAAAAACAACCGCATCGAGAACGAGAACGTTGCCGTGGCACTGGCGCAACCCGCGGTCCTGCTCTACGTCACTCCCGAATCCATTCAGACGGAGCGCATGCGCGCCGTTCTGAAAACCCTGTACAAGGAACAGAGGCTGACCCTCTTTGCGGTGGACGAAGCGCACTGCCTGTCGTCGTGGGTACGTTTCGCACCGAGGTCGTCGTTCTTGCTGCTCTTGGTGGTGCTGTGCTGTGCTGTTTGTGGATGCGATTGCGATTGCGATTGCGATCGATTGTGATTCGTTTCGTTTCGTTTCGTTTCGAAAGTGAGGAAACGCAGAAAACGACGAGTTTCGATACCACGAATCTGTTTTTGTTTCCTATGAGCCAGCTTTATTTCTGTCAATCTATCGATTGCCTGCCCAAAGGGATCAACCAGCTTGAAAACTGCTTTCAATCCTAATCTTTTTGCTTTCGTATTTCATTCCCGTTCCCATGGATTCCAAAACGAAACAAATCAAACGAAAAAACAGGGGCATGACTTTCGATCCAGCTATCGCAAGCTAAACTATCTACGAACCACCTTTCCCGAGACAATCTGCATGGCGCTTACCGCAACCGCAACACCCAAAGTTATAGAGGATATTCGAAGCGAACTCTCCCTACCAAAATCCAATCTACACATTGGCAGCTTTGACCGCCCAAACATATTTTACAAGGTCAAATACAAGGACGCACTCGACAATCCGCTCAAGGAGTTGGTCAAGATCGTCACGAAGCGACACAATTCGGCAAGCGAGTGCAGCGGAATTGTGTACGTCCACAAACGAGAAGACACCGCCATGATTGCCCGGGCCATCTCCAGGGCCGGGATCACTGCATCGGCCTACCACGCAGGGCTCAAGAAGGCCGATCGAATCGCCGTCCAGGACGGATGGTCCAGCGGAGACATTAAGGTGGCGGTGGCAACCGTTGCCTTTGGAATGGGCATCGATCGCCACTGCGTACGCTACGTTATCCACTGGAATCTGCCAAAGACAGTCGAGGGATTCTACCAAGAAGCGGGTCGTGCCGGACGAGACGGCTTGCCTTCACATTCGTATCTGTTCTACGCACCGGAGGACGTGATCAAGTACAAGTACCTGATTCGCATGCAAGGCGGCAAGAAAAATGCCAGCGCGGCCGAGGAGCTCAGGGCAGAAAAGAACACGGAACGGAAACTCGGGCAGCTAGAGGAAATGCAAGACTACTGCACCAAGGCGAAGTGCCGACGGAACGTCCTCATCAAGCATTTCGGTGGGAAACCCGTCGATTGTAAGAAGACCTGCGACTTTTGTGCCAACCCGAAAAAGGTGGAACGAAGCATGCATGCCTCTGCCGCCATCAAGGACGTGCGGAGGCAGCAAAAGGGGTTTGCGGGAAGGGGCAAGAAAGCGGGAGGCAAAGGGAAAGAGCCATGGAACGGGCAATGGGACAGACCACACGGCGATTTCGGAAACGAGGACAACATTGCAAACGACTGGGGGGACAATTGTTTGATGGCTGGAGATCTGCGAATCACAGGTCCCCTTGGAGGAGATTCGGAAGATTTCAATCCTTCCTTTGCTTCGAACAAACTACCCGGGAAAGGTTTCTCCAAGGCTTCCGACATTCTGTCAAAGTACGAGGCGATAGAGGGTCGCTACGGTGGCGACAGCCGGGACGATCCACCCAAAAACAAGTCCACGTCCATCAACATCCCTGAGCATCTAAGGGCATCTCTCAAAGCAGCATCGGACTTTACTACCGCCAACAATATTGCTTCGAAGAAGAAAGTGACCAAGCCGCTAAAGAGTAGCGATCACGCCAACAACGCAAAGCAAATCGAGGAGCGTCTAGCGAAACTGAAGGCCGCTCGAGAAGAACGGCTGAAGTCGTTTCAGGCCAAGACGCGAGCGAAGCCGGCTCCCCCTCCGCCGGCCCCCTTGAGTTTCGGAAGCCGGAAACGGAAATAGACTCGGGATTATTTTCCGCGGGGGCATTCAGTCTACAATACTTAAACGCGATGCAAAGGCTGTCCCCTTGTAGAGATTGCTCACCTCTGAAATTAAGTTGAATAGAAGCACATTCTTACTTTATTCTACTAAATATAAATCGCATCGCAATACCGTACTGGTTCAGCGTGCGCATAGCAAAAGCTTGATCTATTTTTCTTCCAATGTCAAAAGTCGCTCGAAATTCGCAATAGCCTCTTCGATATCGGCGCATTTCTTCTTAAGACCAACCAGCTTCTCGTCGTTTGCCTGCTTCAACTTCTCTGGCACGTTTTCTTGGTATCCGGAGGCGGCCATTTTCTTCTCCAACTGCTCCATGGGCCCCTTGGCTTTGCCCAGGTTCTTGTTGAGACGGCCGATTTCCGTCTTGAAATCAACCATTCCCTTCAGGTCGACAAGGACGGTCAAGGAATCATTCACGACCATGGTTCCGACAGTCGGCGGAATGTCGGCATCGGGTGGGTTGATGTCCACCTTTGAACCGTTTCCGAGTGTCATGATATCGTCTGTCTGCGCTCGTGCGGCATCGGCTTGCTTCTCGTCGGTCATCTTAATGAAGAAATGGGTCAGGTTCTTCGGTGCAATATTGTACGAGGAGCGGAGCGATCGGCACGCAGCGACAATGTCCAACGTGAGAGTCATGGATGCTTCAACTGCTTCGTCCTTGAACGAATCATTCACAACAGGGAATTCGGACAACATGATGGATGGTTTTTCCGAATCTCCCAGTGTGCCACGACCAGGAAGGCGCTGCCAAAGTTCTTCCGTGATGAAAGGCATCATGCAATGGAGTCCTCGCAACTGGGTTTCGAGTGCTACCCACAACGTGGCTTGAGCAGCCCATCGAGCATCTTTCTTGTCCTCGTCCGAACTTTGGACAACAGGTTTGATCAATTCTAGGTATACGTTGCACATATCGTTCAACCACAATTGGTATCCCGCTTGCTGTGCATTTCCAAAGGTGTATTCCTTCAGATTTGTATCGATGCCCTCGATTCCCTTCATCAAACGGGAGATCATGAATTTGTCGCGAATAGCCATTTTGCCACTCGACATGAGATCATCTAGAAGAGTAGGGGTGGGTTGGAAATCATTGAGGTACATAAGTGCAAATCTTGTAGAGTTCCACATTTTGTTACAGAAATTTCGGTACCCAACAACACGCTTCACGTCGAGATTGATATCTTTGCCTTGCACGGTATAGGCCAAAAGTCCAAATCTGAGAGCGTCCGAACCACATTCAGGAATGCCATCTGGGAATTCCACTTCGTTGTTTTTCTTCGCTCGTTGAACTTCCTTGGCAGGAAGGTTTCCTGCGTCCAAACGATCTTGCAATGCCTGTAGAGAACAGCCTCCAATTACTTCCAACGGATCGATGACATTTCCGAGAGATTTGGACATCTTTCGGCCCTCCTTGTCACGAACCATAGCGTGGAGGAACACGGTGTGGAAAGGAAGGGTATCGGTCAATTCCAATCCCATCATCACCATGCGTGCCACCCAGAAGAAGATAATATCCAAACCTGTCTCCAAAAGAGATGTAGGATAAAATGCTTTCATATCATCGGTATTGTCAGGCCAGCCCATAACAGAAAACGGAAAGAGTCCAGAAGAAAACCAGGTATCGAGCACATCTTCGTCACGCTCCAATACCAATTCCTCCTCTGTGCACCCGAGCTTTGCCAGAGCTTTTTGTTTGGCATCCTCCTCGCTGCGTGCAACGATCCAGCGATCGTTGTTCGCCATGTCATTCTTTGAAATTGTTTCTCCCTCGGCCTTCGTAGTGGCAAACCAAGCAGGGATCTGGTGTCCCCACCACAGCTGTCGACTAACGCACCAATCACGAATGTTGTCAAGCCACTGGAACCACGTCTTCTCGTGCTCGGCAGGAATAATTTTGAGTTCCCCGTTTCGAACAGCATCAGTTGACCTCTTTGCCATATCGTCGCAATTGACATACCATTGTGGAGTAATCATTGGCTCCAAAATATCTCCCGAACGAGAGCAAAGACCCAATCTCATCTTGTTGGGTTCTTTTCCCTTCAAAAGACCCTGGAAGTTTGAAAGAAAGGTTTGATAAGGACAAAACGAACATGATATGAGTTATTTCTTGCTTTCGATAACATTAGCACCTACGGCAAGACAGCATGTTTAGTATTCAAAAGTTCTCCAGCACTAACCTTCTTGTCGAGAGCTTCTTCGATAGCAATTCTGGCATCATAGCGCATCATTCCTTCGAATTCTTCTCCACCGTGATGGTTAATGGCTCCATCGGGTGTCAGAACGGTGATAAATTCCAAATCATGACGCTTTCCGCATTCGTAATCATTGGGATCGTGTGCTGGTGTGATCTTCACAGCACCTGTACCAAAGGACATGTCAACTAATACTGGATCAAGAACGATGGGGATCTTGCGTCCAGAAAAGGGATGAATGACGAATTTTCCGTGCAAATGCGTGTAACGGGAATCTTCCGGATGGATTGCTACGGCCGTATCTCCGAGCATAGTTTCCAAACGAGTCGTGGCAACAACTAAAAACTCCTCGCTGTCTTCTACAGGGTACGCGAAGTGGGTCAAAACACCGAATTCATAGCGTCCCTTTGGATCCTTTGGATTTCCTTTGTGGGTCTTGACTTCCAAAAAGGTTCGTCCCTCTAGATCAATATGATCGACCTCGATGTCGGAAATGGCCGACTTGAGCGCACACGACCAGTTTCCGAGGCGGTTTGCGCGGTACAGCATACCCTTCTCGTGGAATCGATTGAAGGCCTCAATTACCGCCTTGGAAAGCGTTTCGTCCATGGTAAATCGCTCCCTCGACCAATCCACACTGGATCCGAGGTGGCGCAGCTGGGAGGTGATACGGTTTCCATATTCCTCCTTCCACTCCCAGATTTTCTTGACAAATTCCTCGCGTCCCAGATCGTGGCGGTTCTTTCCCTCGTTTTTCATGAGCATTTTTTCCACAACACTCTGGGTGGCAATCCCGGCATGGTCCGTTCCGGGCACATAAAGAGTGGAATGGCCCTTCATGCGGTGCCAACGGGTCAGCGTGTCTTCCACTGCGGCCGTCAGGCCGTGTCCCAAGTGCAAACTTCCGGTAACGTTTGGCGGTGGAATTACCATGACGAATTTTTCGTCCGCCGGTCTTCCCATTGCGGCGGCAGCATCTCCCTTATAAAATCCAGAAGCTTCCCACCAGTCTTGCCACGCTGCTTCGACGGCTTCTGGATCGTACGCATCCGCAAAGGGAATCTTAGACATATCCTTCTTCTCTCCCTTGGGTGTTTGATTGACAAAAGGCTCCTTTGGTTTGACCTCCTTTTTCTTGGGTTCCTTTTTCTTTCCGGTTCCCCATTGCGGTTTCTCCTTTTTCTGTTTCTTTCCTTTGCCTTTCGCAAGTTTTTTCAATTGGTTCTTCGACAATTTCGGCTCTCCTCCCTCTGCCGCAGGTGCCTCTGCGGGAGGTGCAGGGGCCTGCCAAATGGAACCAATGCATTCGATTGCGACGAAGGTACAAACAATACATCCGAATGAGATGTTATTCATTGCAGCAACTCGAGCTTTCACCAATAACTTCTGCTTTCCACATCTATCATACGATCCAAACACATCAGTTGCATGCCTTACCGGTGTTCCTTCCTCGGCCATTCTTTTTCTTTTCCTCGATGAATTAGATATGAAGTGAGCTGAACAAATCTTCTACTCTAATACCGTGGAGTAAGAGAGTTCTTTTTTGCTGTTGCTGTCTTGTGAATACCTTCACGTAAACAACCCATTCACAAAAAATATCCATTTTCTTCCTGATGGCGTAAGAGTACGGTACGAACCTTACCGTACGATTACTCTTGCCGGTATGCGCATTCGTTGTGCTATTTTAGGAGCTGAGAGCGCATGTTTTGGAGCTTTTTACGGTTGTTGGAGAGCAATTTCCAAACATGACTTTGCGGCCACGATTCATTCTCGAATGGATTTTTTTAGTCACGAATAAGTTTTATTCCGCCGCAAAATGAAAATATTAGGCCAACTGCGTGTATCGGTTCAATCGGTTCAACGCGCGACATAAAAACCAGTAAAAACTTAACGACACGTCCGTATGGTACCGTACGTAATGTACGGTACGCTCCTTCTTCAGTTTGATGTGACCCATGGCAGACTTTTTTTATTCGCAGATTCTCGATAGTATCGTACCATGCCAAAACAGTGTCTCTCAACATTTGTCACTTGAAAACCCATTCCTTCACTTTCGTCTCCAGAAAAGAACGTCAAGATGGTGAGTGGCTCAAGAGAGAAGGATAGATAGAGGAAGATAGAGGCAACGACAATGGATTCGAAAACGAGAGCTAGTAACAGAGGCAACGATAATGGATGACTCTCGCCTACAACGGAAACGACAAGTATACTCACCTCTCTTCTGCTGCATTCTTTTTCCACGTGTGTACAACAAACAAACAACACACAAAACAAAGCCTGCCCCAAGAAACATCCGCAACCGAAACGCGAAATTCAACAAGAACATCACCAAGCGGGGAAATGTCGACCCAGGAAAGGTAAAGGAACGCGAAGACGATGGCCCACGCATCAGCCCTGCCCTCATTGGTTTCTTTTTGGTCATTGTCGTTGGGTCGAGTTTGGTACAGGTTTTCAACTTGTTTGGAGGCCCCAAGCCTCCATTGGAAGACGAATAAATAGGTCGAATGTCGATACTTGAGACCACAACAAAATAGAATGGGTCGGATAGATTTTAGGGTGTAATTTCACCACTATAAATGGATTTGTCCGCACCTGTCAATGCCTTGAAAGACCGGGGTGTTGGGAAACACAATAAATAAAAAAGCCATACCTTAAAAATCAGATTTTTTGCGTTGGTAATTGAGTTGCTCAAACTACATAAGATAATTGCTAATTCATGATTGGATTCAGTCCATCAAAATGAACAGGAGGTATTTTCTACTTTCTTCTTGGACTTAATAGAAAAAGTCAGAAAAAAGTACTTCTGGTCTCGTCTAAAACATAGATGAAGGCCAAAATAATACTTGAGTTGGAACCGAACTGGCCTTTTGATTTCGAATGATTATCTCCATGGCTATTAAAGGTGCTTCGTTCATCATTCCATTACCTTGTCTTGGTGTCTTCCATACCAAGCAGGCTGCTTGGTTTGTTATTCAATTACTTTGTCTTGGTGTCTTCAACACCGCCAGATTCCATGGCATTTATGCGTTTGGTCCCAGCGCTCATACGGGGCTTAGAGGCACCGCCGCGTTTCCGGGCGACACTAGATAGCTTGGAAGACTTTTCGGCTTTCTTGCCACCCTTTGTGATTTTGTCGTCGTCTCCGTCATCGTCCAACAGTTGCGTCCTCCAGGAATCGTCGGGCAGCACAGCAAGTCTTCGAACGACGGGTCCCAGAACAATAATCCAAGCGATGCCCAGCACGGAAAGGATGGTCTGCACGAATTCGTAAGGATCTTCTCCAAACCAGGACGACGATGCCTTCGTGGGTGACTCCGCAGAGGTGGAAGCAACGGTAGGCGTCATCCATCCGAGCAACTTCATTACGAAACTCGCCGGCCATGTGCCACCCAGGTTTGCCATGGTGTTCAAGAGAGTCATGTAGGATCCACCGATCGCTGGATCGACCCTCGAGGCGAAGAAGGTCATCTGGGCATTGAATTGCAGCGAGTTGCAGATCGCTTGGCCGGCCGTGGACGCAATGACCGCGCCCCAAAAGAACGATGTGTTGTGGGGCTGTCCGCTCTTCAGTATCCGCAGCATGAGAATATCCAGGAGTGGTATGATAGTGACTCGCCATTCGTAGGCTCGCATGAATTGGGTGAGAGGTGCCATGTGCCAGATCTTGGATGCGACCAGTGGAACTAGGATCCCGAGCGGCAAAATTATGGTGGGAGACAAAATTGCTGTTGTAGATTTGGACAAACCGTATTCGACGGCCTTGAGAAACTTGACGTTATCGCTCAGTGCCACTGGCAACCGATAGGAGACCAGAACGATAAAGAGCCATCGAACAGCAGGCAACTGGCTGACAGCCCACAGGCGGTGATAGGTTTCTCTCAGTCCGATTTCAGATGCATCCAGTTCGTTGTCGTCGTCCTCGTCTTCGTCGCTGACATTCGAGTTTGCCCTTCCGATTTTTGCAATTATGTTGTTGCTGTCGACAACCTTCGGTGGTTCCTTGATTTCTCTCTTGAATATTGCCACGACTGCGGTTGTCACCAGCATAAACGATCCCATGAACCTCAAGAAGCCCTTGAGACTGACGAGGCCCTTGTTTGGATTTTGCGGCAACCTCAGGAGGGGACGCCACAGAGTGTTGGCCGATTCCACATCGTTCAGTGCCAAAAATCCCACAAAACTCAGAAAGTAGCCAATGTTTTGTCCGATCGAGTTGCAGATTGGACCCCTGCCGCGATTCTTCTTCGAAAGCATCGTCAGTGCCCATCCGTCAACGGCAATGTCCTGCGTCGCCATCAGGAAATACAGAACAAAGAAAAACGCCGTCACACCACGAACGTTCATGGATGCAGCGGCGGCGGCCGCCGCGTCGACGCCACTTTCGGTGACGGCAGCCACGTTACCCAGGCCGAGCTGTCGCTCTACGAAATCCGACCCTCCCACCATGATCAACCCCGCGAGGGTTTGGATGGGGACCAACCAGGATTTCCGTCTCCCGAACCGCTTAAAGTAGACCGCGTCCACGATCGGTGCCCACAACAGCTTGAGCGAGAAGGGCCAGCTGCAGAGCGCAAAAATTGCGTTGGCGTTGTACGAGGCCCGTGCCGCTTCTGCTGCAACGGCGGAAGCCGCAGTCGCCCCCATAGCGACATCGGTACCGGCGGCCGCCGCAGCCGAAGCGGCGGTCATTTTCTGGATTTTTTCTTGCAAAAGGAATGGAATGGAGGCGGACAGGCCCATCGGTATGCCCTGGAGAGTGTACAGGACGATGAGCAATGCGTAATTCAATCTGTCGGACGGCGGCGGAGGTGCCAAATCATCGCTGCTGAGTGGGTTGTCGATCTTTGCTGTTGATTGCTTTTCCCTGCGGCTCACGACAGAGCCACTGATCAGTCCGATAATCTTCGACTTCGCGCCTCTCACGTCCACGTGGGTGCCGTGGTGGTCCTTGTTCTGGGTCATGCTGGATGGCCGGCGTTTCATTTTTCAAAGACTCTGTTGCTTTGGTGTCTATCAGACGCAACAATAAAGACAAGAAGTCGTAATCAGTAATTAGGTGAATTCCTCCGATGGAGAAAATTAGTTGGCACACACGAGACACAGTTCAAGATGGCACAATCCGTGATTCTCAGCAGGGGAAAACGGATTTCCATTTCTCTTTTTTCCATCATCCAGGGACGTTCCGCCGGACGAGAAATGTTACGTGTTGCGCCGTTACAATACAAACCCCTAGCTATCAGTCTATCCGTCGTCCGTTTTAAACGGAATTGAATTTTTCTCAAAAAGCGAAAAGTAGGTGCAAGTACGTACGATAAGTTCCTCGTACTTTCGTACTGAAAGAATACTAACAGCCAAGAGCTAGGTGCCATGCAATACGAAGTAAGAGGGTTCGAAATTGCTCATCTATTGCAGTACGAGTACCGGTACGCCTTGTAATAATACTGTCCTACCTGCGAGTACTACTTATACTATACCCGTACTAATACCTCTGATATAGCCTCACCTCTACCGGTACAATGGAAATCGTTTGATCGCCACTGACCATGTCGCTTGGCGGCATATCAAGAGACTTCCATGGGCTATATAACTTTTACAATAGCCGACCTACTAACGTACGTAAGTGAGCTCCGACTCAACACTCAGAATACCTACTTCTATTCTTTGTTAGACTGGAAAATTCTTAAGAAATCTGTGGTACAGTATGACCCCTAGCATCTTAGATGAGGGAATTCTGGAAGCTTTCTGCTCTTATGAAAGTACCGTAGAATTAAACTATTAGAACAAGTAGTACTATTTTTTTGTCATCGCAGTACAGTATTTTGTGGGATCTGCCGGTACGGTACATATGTAGAACTGTAGACTGCTTGCTATTTATTTGTACACTCGACCATCGTGAGCAACGAAGAACACCGACGTCACGAAATAGGGTTTCCCGTACGATACAATGACGCACTTTCTTGCATTTGGTCAGAAATGCACGTGCACGGTCAGAGAAGAAGTAGAAGTATCTTCTGCTATGAATTACGCAGTACCCTGCCTACTGCTACCAAGTAGCGGCCGGTACGTATCGTAATATTATTGCTCATACTTCATCATCTTGCTATTGTGCTACGGTACTGTAATCCTACTGTAGATAGGGGAGCAGAACATGCAGACAGCGAAAAAAATCTTCTTTGAAACCATCACTACCAGAGTGATAAGTACACCTCGCGTACGAACCGTCGTAGGAAAAAATACTTCGTACCCTGGACCGTAGTTTTCGGGCATCAAGAGAGCTTTGAGTGTTCTCGAGATGTCTCATAATTTTTTACGAAGCAAATCAAGCACCACCAACCAATCAATCAAACTATCGATCAGTCAATCAATCAATCATCATGGGAGACAGTGGACGATGCATGTATAGTGGCCTTTGTTGTGCCTACACGGCCTGTGATTGCAAGCACGTGGAGTTTTGCTACAAAGAATCTTGCGATTGCCTTTGTATCCGCCATGCATGCTGCCTTTCGGTGAACTCCAAGTCTCGGGGCTGCTGCATGACAACCGACAAGGAGAAAGGAGAGTGCTGCAAGATTGCCTGCCTTTGCTGCGACTGCGGAATCATCAAACCCGAAACTCTTTGCGCCGGTGCTTCCCAGTGCTTGTGCTGTTACACGGTGGAGAGTCTCCCCTGCAGCGATGAATACGTGGAGGAATGCGTCTGCGCCTACTTGTTCATCCAGTGCTGCCCAAAGTGTGGTTGTTGCGCAGCGTAAGTTCCAATTCAAAACATATAAAGAAAGACTACGTGTATGCAGTGTGCTGGGCGAATCATTCGCCAACAAGATCTTGTCACGAAGAAATACCTCTTCACACGATTGATTGTAGGCATCATCTAACATTTCTCTCTTCTATTTTCAAATTCACCGTCAGGCCGCCCTCCTGTCCCGCTTTGGATAAGATCCGAAATGACGAGTTGGCTCCCATGGCCATGGAGCGTTCTTAAGCTATATTTGTAACAATCAAATCGATTTGAATCAAGTGCAACAAGATCTCCTGGATGAATTCCAAGCTCTTCAGAACTAGAATGGACAATTAGATTTGAATTGCAATCTTTGTCAAAAAGAAGATGCGTAAGTATATAAATTGAGGTGGAGAATTAAGAAACTGTGCTTTGTGTCGAATTCAAGAATAAATGTATAAGTGGATAAGAGAAAAAATGTTAGTCCCCTCCTGAAGTTACACGTACATTCAACATCGCGTAGGTAGATCAGCCTTCATTTTTACTTTTGTTACATCCATTCTATTGATCTGTTTAATTCTGATTTTGATAAGGTGCTTACTTATAATACAAGTCCTTCTTCGTATGATGAGGATGATTGGTTTGACCATGCGTTACACCCTTCCTAAGCAGCACTCTCCATCTGGAACTTAACTACCTGTACATCATCCCTGCTGATTCCAATCGAAGCAAAGTCATCATTATTCGACGCTGGAGAGGCCAGAGTGATGGGAGAATTGGATTCGGCAACCGCCACGCTGTTGAGCTTTTTGTCCCGTCGGAATTTCACGAAGCAACAAATCGCACAGCAACACGTGCACAACACGACGAGAAACAGAGCAAGGAGACTGATCCACCACGAGCTGTGGTCCCTCCAATAGCTCGCCGAAGATCGTCCCACCGGGATTGACATGGCCGGCACATGAATTTCTGAGATAGCCTGAAAGCAATCGTCCCGAATCGTGATATTTGGTAGAGAATAAAGCGAAAACCGCCTGTCATCATCAATGCATGGTCCCCCGGTACCGTCGGAGACCCTCAAATAAATAGAATCCGACTGGTCCCAGTACAGGGCTGTGTATATGAGGTTGGAAAGAATCCGAGAAACGTCGCTGGGTGTAGCCAGAAAGGTCATGTTTCGATCCTTCTGGCCGTCACAGATCCAGTCGATACCCCCCGCACGAGGAGGACTTGGATTGGCACATTTAGTGATCTTGGCCAAGGTTTGTAGCTCTTGCTCCTCCAGATCAATTGTCAGCGTTCCATTTTGAGTCCAAATATCGATCTTGACACGGTCAATGTCATAGTCAGCCTCGTCGCTCAATATTATATGGTTTCCGAGCGTTGCCCAGGGCCGGGTGCCCGGTCCCGTGGGTTGACGATCGGGTTGAATAATCTCATCCGGGACACCCCGCAAGGTTGGTGGATGATTTCGATGGAAGATAGTCACCTCTTGCCGGACTATTTTAGATCGACCCAAGATGATTTGCTCTCGATCGAACTCGGGATGGTCGTTCCCTTTTCGAACGCTTACAAGGCAGTAGGAAAAGGATTCTCTGGGAAGTTTGGCGTTCGGCAAGAGCGTTCCATGAAAAGAAGTCGTAGGAACGGAAAAGTAGTCTTTTTGGACGTGTCGGTAAATGAGTCCAGTCCGTGCATAGCCTTCTTCCAATCGAATTCGGTCTCCAACGCGAACGTTCGAGTTATCGGGACCAATTAAATCGCCATACCGAGGAATGTTCACGATTTCGACCATGGTATCCCAGAGTGAAGTGGTGGAATTTGAAACATCCAACCCACCAACGCTGATTAGAGCAGAACGGCCCTGAACAACCGAAGCACCTGAGTTACTCGGATCTTCAGTAGATGACGCAATGGGTGAAGCTACCAGCCGAAGAGGTTCGAAGGGGTTCTCAGGATCCTCAAAGAATGCCTTGGAAGGATCTTCCCTCATTTCCACACCTTCGCGATACAGATTCTTTACGCTTTCTTTATCGAGTTGTTGAGTGTATATTGCAACATTGTGGATAGTGCCCGGAAACACATTTCTGACATCCGTGTTCGAAGTCTTATTTTCTTCATCGACATCGCCACTTTTCTTGGTATGGGTTTCACCTGTCCCTGGGTTTCTAGTCTCGAACCACCGGCGTGAATCCGAAAAGACCTGCAAGCGAAAGCTCTGATCCCACGATCGCAAGAAATCGGGATTTAGGTTTGCTCTCTCGGAGCCTCCTCCTGTTCCCGTAGAGAGCAGATTGATACTCGCGATGGATTCCCCGTTCCCAAAGACCTGCAAGATAGACCCTGATTCCTTCCACGCTACCACCAGGTGGTTGAGCTTTGCTAGTTCCTTGGTGGTTGTGCTGCTGATACTGTTGGTTACCAAGGCATATTCGGTTTGTTCAGTTTTGTTTTCTTCGAGTTTCCACTGGGTCAGTCGAAGAATCTGGCAAGCATACTGCGGAGAATCCTGCTTGTCATATCCCATTGAGTCGTCGTCGTCGTCGTTGTCGAAATAGTCATCACTGAGGTACTCGTAGTGGTCACGATAGTGCAATTCTAGGATTCTTCCACGTTGGCCAATCACAAGTTGACGGCCCTCGCAGGGATCTCGGCTGGGCCGTGCGTTGCGTCCGCGTCCGTTGCTGTCGGTATCGTTGAGGGGGGCCGCCACGGATACGATCGGTAGGAAGTCTTCCATCGCCTCTGCGTCGCCAACACTTCGAAACGGTGAAAACCAAACCTCCACCGCCAGGGCTGGAGGTATGGTCTGGTTGGAAGTTGTTAGGTTGTGTGGGTTGTGCGCCCAAAGTTGTAGAATCCGCTGCCGAAGATCGGCTACTGATCCCTCGCTTTCCAGGATGGTCTTTGACGCGATCCCGTCGATGGTGCGATAGGGGCACGAAAAGAATCCCGATTGCTTCTCTTCACTGTCACTCACTCGAAAGTTGTGCGGTTGAGCTCTAACGTCACGTCGCGTGCGTCTCTTGCCACCGTCGTTGTCGGACAGGCTGGCCTTTGTTTGCACCTCTTTTCCGGGAGGGAGAAGCTCTCCCATCGGGGACGAAGGAAGACTGCTCGAGATGGGTCTTGGATTCCCGAGGTACGAGCATGGAAAATCGTAGGTGACAATTGGTAACAACATAGTTATTGCAGGAATTACCACTGTTGCCAGTGCCTCCGGAGCACCCGCGGCTCTGGTCGTCATTTTGGTGAAGTAATGAATGTTTTAGAAAAACACTGCTGAATGCCCCTTTCTAATTTTCCGGCGATAGCATTATGAAACAATACCATCCAAACCATAGCAGTAACTCTGGAGAATGAGATAAAGAAAAATGCCGTACCGATGACTGTCGTTTTCATGTAACATGGTCGTACAAATTCCGAAACGGACGTTTTGTCAGTTTTTCGTTTTTCTTTTGGAATTCGGAAACGAACGGATACCACGATAAATTCTCTTCGAATTCATCATTCCGCAATTTAAGCGGGCTCGAGTAATGTATGTATATTCATCTATTAAACCCAATGCTTTTTGTTTCCATCTTTGCATTTCGAATGGGGGGCTACATGTGAGGTTTAGTAGCTCCCTCTTGGCTGTCGTCTTCAGTTATTATTATTTGTTCTTTCGTCCCATTCATTGTCGCGCCATAAAAATTCAAAAAATAGTGATGATGGCTTAAACCATTTTTGTTTTGATCAACATACAGCATCCCGAGGGTTAGGGTTAGATCTCACTTTACAGTCGTTTGAGTCAAAGATCGTCCACAAGAACCACATCATCGTGATCCATCATCACCAATTTTCGTTTTTCGAAAACACCATCATGGCGTCATAGTTTTGTACTGTACTCATCTGTTTTCTTTGGTTTCGGCATCACTTCCGAAGAGAAAATCATCAACGCTGACGATGGGAGCTCACAATAGCTACAGTCCTTCTCAGGAAAACTACAGATTGATGTCGATCTTTGACCAAACAATATTTCGGTACTTGACAGAGCACATTGCAACAAAAACAAAAGCAACAACCACAACCACAACGACAAGCACATGTGTTACTTTGTAACTACGTAAAGCAACGAAGAATAGAACAACAATAACTCGTTCCACCACACACCGATCAACGGTAGCATGGCAAAAAATCCCTCCGCCGCCGTCGCCATCGCCATTCCCAGAAATAATCCCAACCTTCGATCCCTGTTCGTTTTTATCGCTTCTACAGTGTTCTTCGCTCAATGCCAATCTTGCTTGGCTTTTCAACTCTGGGAACACCGCCATTCCACTGCTCCTTTGTCCTCCCAAAACTCTCGGAAACACAGAATATCAATAAAGCCTGAAGCTACAATGACGACAATCTTGGCTGCGGCAGAAAATAGCGACTCCTCATCGGAACAAACTTCATCTGTAGAAATTGACTGCCTCAACGATGGTTCTGCTTCTTCTTCATCTTCTGCTACCACTGCTACTTTCAAATCACTACAAAAACTCGTCGACTCGATATCCAATGCGAGAGATGCAATGTCCGGCGACGGAAACGACTCATTCACGTGCCGCCTCATACCCTCCGTTACCGGCAACCTAGGACAAAAGCACTCGAGGGAAGAAATAGCCTCCATATACTACACCAAAGGTGAAAACAATGCAACGATTGTAGAAATCAATACACTGATCTTTCGTCCGGCGGCGATTTCCAGCGATGCCAACAGCGTATATGCGGTTGCCATCGTTCCTTCCTCGAAACGGGTCGACGTTCGAGCCTTTTCGGAAGAACTCGGTCAGTTGCGTCATAAGCACGAACAACAGCAAGACGGGACCAACGGCTGCAGCAACGATTCGGCGTTCTACCAAAGCTGGGAATTGGCCCCGTCGCACCTGGTTCTGGATCTTTGTGGATATTCACCCGGCGGAATTCCCCCCCTACTGGTTCCTCCGAGAAATAGTGGAGTCGATGGTGGCAACATCGAATCCTATGACCAGCGAAAACCGTGGGCCGTAGTCCTCGACAGCTCCCTTTTGCCTCCACGCAACTATAGCAGCAGTGCAACGCAAACCAACCAGCACAACCAATTGCTCCTTCTGGGCGGTGGAGGAAATACAGATTACCGATGCCTCATCGATGCAAAATGCTTGGTCGAAACCGTGCTTGAAGCGAACACCTCGGACAGAAACGTGAAAATCGCCAGCATCGTAAGATTCGATGGTGGTATGACCACCGACGTGACATCGACGAGACCAACCAAACATCCATCCGCTGGGCCCACCCTGCGAGCCGCAGCCATTTCAAGCGCACCAAAACCCTTCTTTCAAATCGCTCCTCCTTCATCCTCCATGGACTATTACGCAGCGAAGGCAGAATTAGAACTGCAGGATCGACCACACCGACCTGTCCCCGTTACTGCCATCGGACGTCTGACGTCCGTTCGACAAATTGCGAAGCGATTGGTATTCGCCGATTTTGCTCCACCGGACCACGTTTATGCCACGTGGCTAGCCAACAAGAACGCCTCCAGCAGCAACAGCAATAGTAAATTGGGGCAACCAAACAATTACGATAAGGGCAAGGGTGGTGTGTCGGATCCTCCGTGGCGATCGGGAGAAGACGGAAAGGACATGTATGTTCAGATCATTGTCGGGAAGACATTTTGCGAGCGCTATGACGATGGGACCGATCGTTTAAAGAAACTAAAGCCCGGAGCATTGGTTCTCGTAAAAGGTGCTGCAAACGTAGGTAAGGAAAATCGTGATCGGGTTCGAAAACATACGACACCACATCAATGTTTTTTCTCCAAATTCCGTGAATGTAGAATTTCGCCGAATCTTTTGACTGCTCTGTCCCCTTTTATTTCACTTTCACTCATTTTCTTCCTCGAAACAAATCGTGCACCGCACCCAAACTTCACACAGATCCTATGCAAAAGAACGGGTGGCGAAACTCGGCTGGGAACTGGGCTCAGAAACGGAGCCTGGACGTGATAGTTTCGTCCTTCGAGATTTTGAACGATGACGACGATGACGAGAATCTTCGTATGTTGGTAGAAGAAGCACAGGAGGAAGCGGTCGCTGGTGGGGATTGGAGTAGCTTGTTGCCATGGGAGCGGAAACGTGGCTACGAACGCAGAGCGGTAGCCGGGAACAAAGGCATTGCTAACGGCAACAATGCAGAATCGAGCGACAACAATAATTCGTCGACAATGTCGTCTTCTATTCACAACGGTGCTGCAAATGAACTGACATTCGATCGATTCAACTCCCAATTGCGAGACTCACCGTTACAGATCGAAATTGTGGACACGGACGAATCTATCAGGGCGATGTCGAAAGAAATATCCGAAATGTTTTCTCGGATCGAGGAGGACGGTACGCAAAAAAGCGACTTTTTGGATTACGTTGCTGGCATCGACTGCGAGTGGAGGCCTACTGGGGCCTATGCCGAAGCACTACTGGAAGGACCAGACGATAACCCCGTGGCGTTGCTGCAGATATGCGTTCCTTCAATCAAAAGGGTATATCTCGTTGACACCCACCGGACACTGAGGGCCAATCTTGCGGTTACGGAACAGATGAATGACAGCGAAGAGATTCTGGCTAAGACTATCGGCTCTATTTTTGGCTCGGACGAGATGATCAAGGTTGGCTACAGTGTTGCCATTGACTTTCGGCGATTGGCTGCGAGCTTTCCACACATTTCCGCGTTTCGTGATGTCCGGTCGGTAGTAGAGCTTTCGACTCTGGCCGAGCGTTTACATCCGAAATCGGCACGTCCATCGCTGGGTTCTTTGCAACGCTTGACAAAACTTGTGCTTGGGTATAGCGTAGCGAAGGAACAACAATGTTCGAACTGGGAAGCCCGACCCTTGACCTCTAATCAGGTTGAGTACGCAGCCTTGGATTGCGCTTTGCCGCCGAGATTGTTGGACCAGATGACCGAGGGATCTGGAACGGCGAGAATGAAACAAGTTCTTCCGCAGGTAACCAGCTCTTGGAGGTTCCAAACTATCGACAGCGACCAAAAGGTTGCAATTCAGCTCCTGAAGGCAAAACGTGTGGTTGGCAATACCTTTGTAGTTTCGCAAAACTGGCTTCAACACAAAGATGCTCCAGACAGAGTATCCGTACCAAAAGAGGGCGGTGGACCATTTGTTGACAAGAATGGCATTATGAAGATGCCTGCCAATATGCTGAACGTTGCAAGTGGAGGCGCTAACGCTCCATGGAAGAAAATGGTAGGGAGCACCGTGGGTAAATCGAAGGCCAAATGCATTGATCTCCTTGTTGGCGATACCTTGCCCAAAGGTGCAAATCTCGAATACAATCCACGATCTGGATATGTTGCGTTCAAAAACTGTCTTGCTTTGTTTGTCAATATGCCAGATCCCAATAGACCATCTCGGAGAATGCCATACCCCAACGAATGGCTCGAAGATGGGCGGATATTGACGTGGTACATCCGACCAAAAGATTGGGACGGCGGTACGTCAAAAACAGGAAAGCTTTTACTAGGAAATGGTGATCCTGATTTCGAAGGGAATCGGCCCCGTGTTGTGCTGTTTACTCGCATCGGGAACGGAGAATTTGTTTGCTGTGGTAGCTGCAAAGCATCGGCAGCGGATAGTGGAAGTGCTGGAGCACCGAAGACGAAACTCGTGAAGCTCAATCTTCATTTAGAAGACTGGAATGCGTTGAAAAATCTCGCCGTCTTTTCGCAACTCCTAGAGACCAACAAATCACGTATTAATGCTCCTGATAACCAAGAAAAAGTTTTCTATCCCGTCTCCTTTCGAAATCACCTAGCAAGAAAGATTTTAGACGGAGACGTAATCGGAGCATTTGGCACAGCACTCAATGAGGCAAAAGTCAGCACAAATGAGAGGTCCATTGCAACTGGTGTAAAATGTGTCAAGAATTACCTTTCGAACTCTGATGACCCGGTTGTCCTTCAAGCGATCGAAATCATCGAAGGCATGGTATGAAAGCAGTGGTGAGTACTGCCTTCAAATGAGTCGGCCTCAATGAAAAGTTGAGAAGTGCTATTTGTGACCCAATGCATATTGCGGATGGAAACGAAGAGCATCTGCATTCGAAATAAAACAAAAACATTACAAACAAATCAGTGCCCGGTAAATCTCTTTGCTACGTCAATCGATTCCTTTATCAGCCCGAGAATGAAAGTCACACAGAAGCTGCGAAATTTGGAGATTGGCCAGGTTCAAAGAAAGTTTCTTTTCTTCACGACTCTACCATTACATCGAGCCCTTGAATGAATTAATAGAAATAATTTCATCTTCGTAATGATGTTTTGTTCAATATAACCAACCATGTCCAAGTTCAGGAGACAACAGTAACCTGTCATTGATTCTACTTTCAATTCACCACCATACTACATGATAGTACATGGTAGTAGAGGATTTCTGTAGGAACTACTACTAGTATCTTTTGTTTGATTAAAAAGACTACAAGACTCTTGGTGGAAATGGTACTAAGTTGAGGAATGATAATGAAGCAAGGCACCACTACTATGCAGGATTACTCATGTAGAGGCCTCCTCAAGATCTGCACTTCTGATACCTGGTGGTGATGGCTTCAACTTTCTACTAGTGCTACTACTACTACTAAGAATAATAAAAGACAAGGGAGATACTACAACAACTAGTAGTACTAATAGTAATCAGGAAGAATAGTACCATGAAAATGAGGTGTCCATATGGAGCAAAAGTATGAAAGGCTTCTTATGAGTTGAAGAAAGACACCAATCCTGGTGGAGGAGTTGGTGGATGGTAGTATACAGCAGTGGACAGCACCACCAGTACACCACCAGAGAGTTATGTTCAGGACAACCACCCCACAAAAAGCCCCCACCAAGAGGAACCCCCTCCTACTACCACAGTAGCCTTCTATTAGATTTAAGTATGTAGAAGTGTTTTTTATTAAATCAAATATTTAGGTTTAGCACTGCTTCCTTGTTGTGCCTTCTTGTTGGTCATCACAGAATTGTCTGAGTTGTAATCAGGCTGAGTCTTCTTGTCATACTCACTGGAAAATTTTCTAGTAGCAGATCAATAGAAGTGTTCCTACAACTATTTTGAAATATAATAAATAATGATATTGTTACCTTTCAAGCTTTTGATCTGGAATTGAAAATACAGTACTTGTTCTTGTCCTCAGAATAATGGCACTAGTGGTAGTACTTCCATTCCAGTAGTAGTAGTCCTCATACAAGTTCTCACCATGGTGGTGCAGTGTTGGTCCAAAAGTATGTCAATTGAGCAGTGTCCCTGAATTGAAATGGCAAAGAGGCAGAGCATACTAGTAGCAATGCCAGCACCAACATCGACAGTCTCTACAACAACATTTAGCCAGCAAATGGGACAACAACAAATACTACTACCACTACACCAATGAACAGTTATTATCATGATTGACCATTCCAAGATCAAACTGGTTATAAAGATAATTCCATTTCCAATACTTGATAAATTCTGTCACAAACCATGATAGATACAACCATCAAAATAGAAGTGCTGGGCAAAATTTCAAGACTACTAGCTAAAAACAAATGAGCATTGCAAATTGTTCATGTTGCTCTTGTGTGGAAAGAATAAAAATATTTAGTGTTGTGAACTAGTAGCAGGGAAGCTAGAAGAACCATTACTTCTTCTTGAAGGCTGCTTCTGCTAGTTGCTGTGAGGGATAGTAGGACTCCTGAAGAAACATGACAAGTGGGGTAGGAAGAAACATGACAAGTGGGGTAGGACATATCTACTAATGTATGCTGGAATTATGTAAAGTATTTATCTTTTTGTTGTCTCTTTGAGTAGTATTTAAAGTCTTAATATCATATTTAGCCTAGTACTAGCTAGTGGACTAATAGAGGCACTTTCATGACAACCAGAGTCATGAATTTGGGGAGATGTATGCTGCTAGATACTCCCAAGGGGCAGTACCTCCCTCTGATGAGCAATGGTTGGTGAAATGCAAAAGTTAAATCTTTGGAGAGAGGAAAAAACAACACATTTCTTGAACTTGTAAACAATGCACAGGTTTAAAGATGCCAATATGGTGAGGGGATAAGCTTCTTGATGATTCAAGAACAAATGGCTTGAAAGAAGAGCAGTTTCAAGTCATTAATTTAAGAACTGAAAAACCTTGGGACAAAATCCCAGAAGATATTGGTGCTTATGCAACGTGAAGAAATGCAGACAAGTGTGCAATAAGAAATGATGGCATATTTTCTGAGTTTCTCAAAATGGTACATTCAGAAGATAGAAATGACAGATTACCAGATCACACCAGCATTGTAATCAATGCCTCAAACCTAAAGCTGCAGATTGACAAAACAAGAAGAAAAATACAGAGATAAGGAGCAAGGTTTTTAGAATTACTACGTAGTACTGGTTACTAACTGCCACATCAGATGCTAACATTGTTGTTAAAGGTGGAACCAAATCTTTTTAAAAGATTTATCATCCAATTCTTAGTAAATTGTATGTTGGTAGACCTGTCAAAATCAATTGCAACATATTTAGTAGATGTTGAAAATCAAAAGCAAACTGTGGTGCCATGTGTAGTAGTACTTTCAAGTCCAAGAAACTAAAAAGAAATGGCTTCCAGGATTGTGAACTTATCAACATCGATGGATATTTGTTTGTTCAATGTGTAGATGCTGAGAAATTTGAATGGATAGAGGTGTTCCTTGAAGAAAGAGACTAAAAAAAAGTGATCACTTTAACTTCTCAAAATACTGCAGCAAGAACAACACCAGCTCCTAAATTTTGATGTCCACTACTACTAGAACATCATCTATCAAAAATGACCCATCAAACTCAAACAAGTCACAAGGGAGGAGAATACACTAACTCAATTCCTGATTGATATTGTCAATGAAAGAACTGTTCAAAAATTATAGGGAAGATGTCTGGTGGAAAATGTTTTGTTGGCTTCAGCTTGGTTTTACTACTACAGCACCACAGCAGCAACAACAACAACAAGAAGAAGCTGTAGTAGCAATTGTTGAAATTATCATGTTGTGCTTTCAAGTGTTACAAAAATGACCTTCAGCAGTCTGTGGTAGGAGTATAACTAGTAGTACTAGTAGTAGTGCTACTAGTACTAACAACAAGAAGAACAACACCTCCTGCTGGGCAGGAGTGGTGCCTCTTCTCCTTGTTCTTGTTCTTGTTGTTCCTCTCCTGCTTTGAAAAAAAAACACCAACAACAATACACAAGAACATACACAAGAAAAACTAAATAAATTCCATTCCTATTTAAGAAACAACAAGCAGCCAGAATGCTTTCATTGATTGATTGCTTTCTAAATTCTTTTCAGACTAGTAGTTCTTTTCCACCTTGCTGGCAGCTACTTCTACTTACCGTAGTACCTGTGCTAGCGAGCCAATTCACTAGCTACTCGTGACTGTGGTCAGCAGCACACCAAGAGATGATGAATCAATCATCGACAGAGCCAAACACAAATCCACTCGTACATCGGTTCACATCCACCATCGATGACAGGAAAACCCAAGCAATAGTTGCAGCCGTAGGCGGAGGATTTGTTCATAGGACGAGCGAGGAGAAGATATCGGACTCCAGTCATTCTCCATCGGTGGATAGTTTTGCAACAAACATTAAAAGTTTGCCATCATCGGCGCGAAGCTCAGAATCGGAGATTTTCCACCATGTTCACGATAGAACCATCCAGCACAGAGCGAGAATCGCTGTTGCCTCCCCCGTATTCATACGAGGAATTGTATTCGTCCTACCAGAACGAATGGGATTGTCAAAAGAAAAGTAATAGAAGCGACCGCACCACAAACGTAGGCAATTGCGACGATACCACTGGCATCGATATCGATATCGATATCGACGAAAGCGTGTCGGATCTAAAGTGGGTGACCGTTCCAAAGCATTCGGATCCGAAACACGAAAACGAGAAGAACAACGCAGATGAAATCATAAGCGAAAATGAAAACGAAACGTATCTTTTGGCGTGCTCCGGTTCGGGAGAAGTCGTCGTTTGGAAACTCGGGCAAACAACAACGAAGACAACCCAGAGCATCAACCCGATGGATGCCGCAACGAGCAACAATAGCGCGGCCGTAGCATTGGTTCGACACACTCGGTGGAGTATTTCGAGGAGCGACAACGATGCGGAGGATCGAAAAGGCGATACGGATGATAGTGGCGACGACGGACATGCCTACGGGAGTGAGTGCGGAGCATTGTCCAAGATGTGCATCGTTTCGGCTACATTCCCGGATGGTGCCAGCACCTCCGGAGGACGGAATCGGAAACGGCAACGCCAGGATCAGAGCGGAGGCCAAGAAGATGCGATGGAAGACCAGCAACTTCTGATCATAGCGGGAGAAGATGGACTGTGGAGCGTCCCTCTCTCGGAGGTGTTGCAGAAGCAGCCAATGCAGGGGCATTCTGCTTCGTCTGTGGTATATCCTCCGTCTCTACTGCGATTGTCCGATCGCGCATTTTCACAACTACAGTGTTTATCACCAACCAGTAAGTCTCCTGTCGAAGCTGGGAACAATGTCCACAGTCGGCTGTTCGCCCTGGAAAAGAACACCAACAATCTTTTAGTGTGGGACGCACGAAGAATTATTCAGTGCCACAACAACAACAACAACAAAAACGATGAGGTAGTACCCGACAACGAAATCGATTTGTCCCGGTGTTTCTCGGAACAGCCGGTGGAAAAACCGAAGAAACGGAGACGGCTCTATCAGAAAAGTATCGTTAGCGGGGAATGTGCAACTACGATTCTGGTTAGTAAAAGCCACAACCAGTTCAATCTTTTGGTAGGAACGGATCGATCGAGGGTGTGGATTTTATCCATCGCAAGCGATGCAGCCAATCTTACGGTTTCAATCAAAAGGTTGGAACCCCGATTCCTCTCGCTGAACGTCGGGAAAAAAGCTTCGACAACAAAATCTAGCAGTGCCTATGTGTCCAATCATCACTCTCGCAAGAAGGGCAGCTTGGGCCTTCCTGCCAATGAAAGGAATCAAGAAGCAACATGGAAAGTCACGGACCTCGCTGCAAGCAGCGACGGGACCTGGTGGACCGCATCCGCGGTCAAAACCGGAAAGACCAAAAACAACTCTGATTCCGACGGCACTTCCGGCCTGATCGTCACCTGGCACGCCTCCAGTGGAATGGTAACGGCGCGTCGAGAAACCCGCGAAGCAATCCATGCCATTCGACTAGAGCAAGAGCAGCCTCCGCCACACGGGGCAGATGGAATCGGGTGTTCGTCGACACTTTTGTACAGCGCAGGAAACGAGGCGGCCGTTAGCGCTTGGGATTCCTCCTTTTCGCTGGATCTTACCGGTCGATTTTGGGCCAGCCCGCCATCGAGCAAAGCCATTGCGGTTGCATTCGGGACCACCACAATGGCCGTTGGAGGGGTGGGAAATCGGGTGGATCTCTTTTTCGAGCGCTGCCGCGTTCAGACGGTACGTTTGTAGTTTCTATCGATCACGTTTACAAAAATACCAAAATAAAAACAAGCACACTCTCGTAGAGGAATATTCATTTGACTGCATTAATAGTATGGTATGTAATGCACAGTATTCGTTAGTTGTTTTACGTCGTTCTCATGTGATCTTCTGCTGTCGTATGGCGCAGCTTTGATGCCAAGAAGACACATCATCAAAGTATCCGGGTCTGCAAAAGGATAGACTTAAAATCGTATCATCGACATGAATACACTTGTATCAAAATCATGTGTCATACCGTTCTTACTCGGTAAGATTCCGGATAAGTCGTACTCCAAACCTGTGCTAGTTTCAACCTCAGATGTATTCATCGAGCGTTGCCGACGGTTTTCACGGGCAAAGAATTCATCTAAAGTGCAGAATCCGTAACTGGCGCCCGTCGCAAGAAACGCAACAAAGAAGTCGTTTTTTTCATTCCCAATGCTTCCTCTTCGGGGGTTACAACCGTCGTGGAATCTACAAAGGCTGAATTCTCTGGAGGAGATTCTAGTACCGAACCCTTGGTTGGTGTTAGTCGTATGAAACGCAACAACGAAGCTGCCCTTTTTTCCCCCGAGATTTTCTCGTCGCTCGAAACGTTCGAGGAATCGATGGGTGGCAAAGGAGTTTCTGCAGGAGATCCTAGCATCGATCCCTCGGTAGTTGCAGGCGAAGACTTTGCCGTTTGAGCGATAAGACCAGAAATAGCTGCAATGATTCGCGCTAACAAGGCTTTCGTGAACGCAACGGTCCACGATCCAATAGCCACGATTGCCAATGCACAGACTCGCACCACAGAACGTCGGAAGGTCTTCCATTTCAAGACGAGATTTTTGAATGCTTGACACACAACTATGAAGAGCTGGAGGATCGTCTGGACGATTGCCATCGAAGTCAACAATGTGTGCCGCACAATCCGTTCCATATAGCTCTGGTAGCGGCGTTCAAAGCGCCTTCCCTCCCATTCCAGAGCCGAAGCATAGGTGGGTCCCAGAAGCATGTGATCGGCAATGGGATCACCAACGCGTGGGGCCAAAAAACAAAATTCGTCTTCCATTTCGTTCGTATTGTAGTTGCTTTGATATCGGATGAACCCAGATCGCAAGGCGGTTTCCGCACTCGGATTCACAAACAGCAAAGGATCGTTAACGCTGTAGTAGTTGACGCACCTACGAAAAGGTGTCCCGGGTGTGGACCGGACTGGAGTGGCGCCCCCAAAGCATATGACCTCGATATGATTCATTTCAAGCGGCGTCAGTTGCTTGGCTGCCAACCAGGTGACCAGAGCGCCCTGCGAATGAGCAATATGCACCACGGTACCTCCCCTTTTCCCTTCGACGGATCGGACGGCCTCCTTGAGGTGTTTTACAAGGCCGTTGACCTCTTCTGTAATCCTTCCCAAGTACTTTTGCTGTCCAGCTTGAGTGAGATCACTAAAGTAACCCCGCGTGTCCTGCTCGTCTACCATCTGGGTGGGATTGTGATAGAACTCGACCTTCTTGCCACCGAAATATTGCGAAATTATGGGCGCCTCTTTTTCCATGTGGCTCGAATTGTAGCCAATCCCATTCACCCATGTCAAACGCGTCTTCGGCGCAAATCCGAAATGAGACTTCCTTGTGGCATCGACTTCAACACGAAGGAAGAGAAGCGCAAAAATGATTGTTATGAAGGAACGCAATCTGGGAGTCGTTGTCGCCAACGACTTCGCTCTTTTCAGCCGTAGTCGACCTTGTTGGTTCTCCGAGTTCCAAAGTTCACGAAGGCTCCCCATTATACTATCCCGAGTGCAATGTATTCCTGATACCGAGGATGCAATTGAATCCTTTTGTTGTGAGGGTGGCCATTCTCGAATAGTGAAGACGACGGATGCTACCGTATCGAACCGGAATACGGGGAAGATTTTGAGGTTTCCGCCACGAGTCGAGTGCCAGAAAGCGCCCTCGTGAAGTCCGGCGCGCAAAATTTTCGGATTCCCCTTTGAAATCCACAATTCGGGGGAAATCATGTGGATGATTTCTCCAAAAAAATACTCTACATACGTCAGCGACCCAATTCAAAAAGGGGGGATGCGCGCGTGGGTTCCGGATGGCCCAGCAGAGCAATAATGGAACCAAGGTTCCTGGGACGGAAGACAGAGGCAATCTCTTATTCAAACTCATGCCACTCTCGTAGCGGAATAGCCTTTAGTGCAAAGAATAAAAATGTCTTCGGAGAAAGATATCATAGAAGTAGAGCTCAAGAAGCGCCGCCCTGGTTGCACAGGGATGTTTTGGAGACCCGACCCGACAGGCGCTGTAAGTTTAGCAAGCAATGATAATTGGCCGCGGGATGGAGCGAAATTACGTGGACGCTCAGTTGAAGTCGAGAGCAAGAAATGGCTTCTAGTGACAGAAATTCTACAAAAAGGATCCTCTGAATGGATCCGTGCTCCTGTGGGTGCCGCTATGCCATTCGAATACGACAACCACTACTATTTGGAATGAAAGTGGGCTAACGATCAATGGGCAAACCGTAAAGAACATTAAAGAACAAGAAACGTGATCAAGGTTGGCAAAGATGGATATACGAGGATGGCAATCTTGGACGATTTGGAAGTATTGGATTCTTCATCTTCCTCGAAACTATCAAGAATAGCAAACAATGTGTTCTATGCGGTGATGCCACCTACCAGTATTCACCAGAAGCTATTTAGTACTACTATAATATTGATTGATATTCAATTCAAGCGCTAGCTGGAGAAAGGAATCTCGATTCCTTCGCAATCAAGCTCCAACAAATTTGTCTTGCACCCCATGAGAGACGAAACACTTGGTATTGTTCTACCAAAATCACCGTACACAAATTCCTTAACATATGTTCCGGCTTGTGTGCTCAGTTCCAACCGAAAATGGTGGTCGTCGACCCTCGTGGCCTTGGCATCCAACACATTTCGGTCTCGCACAGAGTTCGATCGGCGGTGCATAACTCGAACAGGTGTCTTTTGTTGTATGGCAAGGGGAAAGATTAAATCCTTGAATATTATTTGCGTCAGTTCATTGCCTCCATTATCGTCGAAAGGCAGAGTATTTTTTGACCAGCAATAGCATCCGTAGTGCTTTGTCTTGGATTCTGTATCTCCCTGTAGACCGGAGAAGGTAGCTGCAGGAACCACTCGGAAGATATCTGGTGAAATCCCAACTCCCATTGGGTTTTTTCCATAGTAGCTAACTCCTTCGTTGCGACCTGAATCGTTTCTAGAAGCAGGCAGTGCTGTTGTCGTTTTTGATTCTGCGGATGAGTGGTTGATTGTTTCTATCAAACCTTTTAGTTCAATCGGGGATGCAATGCCTTTCAAGGCGTCTATGATCTGCACACAGAAGGGTCGTCCGTGACAGGTTGGTGAATTTGATCGAACCAACATTCGCACGTCCATATCTTCCCTCCCAGATGCGTGGAACTTGATCATACCGTACAAGACTCCGCCGCCACCACCAGTGTTGCCCACCATAGTCAGACTATCGTTAGAATCTGGTAAGGTTATATTATTTCGGGTCGAGACTCCCAAAAGATCCTTGATGGGACCGCAGATTTGTTCTTCTACTGACGTTGCACCCAAAGTCTGTGCTTCTTTCTTCGGGAGAGGTGCAGTGACGCCTCCGTCGTTGTTACTTTTTATTGCATCGTATTCCTCATTCGCAACAGATTTTGCCCCACTTTCTACTGCGGGTGACGACAGTTTTTCCCTCATGACTACAAATGGTGTCTGTGACACGTCGCGTCGCGATTTGGTGTAATATCCGTACAAATACATGGGCCTCCGAAAAACTGCTACCTGGTATTCCATTTTCGTCATCGTCATTGAGTTGTTGGGGGCGCTATCGTTGAGAAATAACATTGCTAAGGAAGGGGACGCTTGCGATGAAGACAACGACGCGGACAACTGTTCGGCGGTCGATTGAGAAATCCATTCGTATCCTTTAGACCGCAACCGAACTTCTAGATTTTGTCGAGGATCACCGCCTTGTGTCGTGAAGGGTCCACATTTTTGTCGTTTGTTGTACCTGTTTCGTTGATTTTTGGTTTTCTTGCCTACGGCGTTGGTTTTCATGTATTTGTTTAGCGCCAGTGCCATGGGATAATCTTTTGGTGGTAGACACAGCAAATGAATCGACAAGCAACCCTGCTCTTCAACTTCAAATACCTGATGGTTTTCCCTCTTCCATGATTGCGCGTTTTTCTCTTTTTCTCTGTTGCAATCTTTTTCACCATTTTCGTCGTCTTTATCAATTATTGACTTGATTCGAGAATGCAAGTGTTGTTTGAGATCTTGCAGATACACAGAAAAAGGAACGTGTGAATTAGATGAAAAAGATGCAAGCCATTTGTACCGAAGGCACAAATCCCCGGAAAGCGAAACAGTGTGGGTTTGGTTCGGCATTCGACTGAAACGATTCCCACTCTTTCTCCCAATGCCTCCGTAGGGACTGCAAGCTTCCTCTATAGCCCTACGGAGACAAAATATTCCTGATCTTTTGAATTCTTCAAGACATTTTTTCTCCTCGTCGGTAGAATTTTCCTCCTCAGGTTCCTCCTTTTGCCACAATCCTAGACATAACCAACATTTTAATGGGGTGACGTGTACTTTATCCGCTCTAATCTCGTCGTAGTTCGGCTTGAGATAGCTACAGCATTTCGAACAGCAGAGCCGAATAGCGGCGGCGTAGACCGAATCCTGTCCTTGCCGTTCTTCGTCACCAATACAACTGCCACCATCTTGTTTGCCCGTCGCGTTAATGGGGGAATTCATTCGTGCTCGTTTCTAAATAAGTAACAGAAAGAATAGCACAAAAGCTTGGCCTTCATCACTGGCAAGCTAGAACTTGCAATTGTAGGACCAGCGAACAAGTACCGGTACAATCGGGAGCACCTGTACCTCCGCAGATGATGGCCAGAGTGTTTCGAACAAGAAGTGCACAGAAAACAAGAATGTATTTCATACCATTTTTTCAATTTCATTTTCCCGAAGGGGTACAGTACGTAGCAGCTACCGTACTGTACTGTAMGGTACGGTACGGTACCCTATGCTATGTTCCTTGGATTTCGTGGTCCACGTGATGCCAAAAGATTTCATACGGGATACGATGTTGTATCCAGTCCCACATCACATCAAATCAAAAACTTTCTGTTTCTCCAAAACGTCATCAATCCTTCATCAACCGAGAAGCTGACACAAGGAGAGTGCCTTGCAACAAACAGATAACGACCTAGTTCTGCTACGAAGGAACCACTCAAATAATAAGACATCCTAGCGAGGTTGGAGAAAAACGGAAGTGGAAATCGATAGCCTTTTAAGAGTTGCTTAAAGCTGTAAAAAGTGTGCATCCTGCACTGATGTCCACCCATCGAGGTAGGCGAAGAGTCGCCTCAATTTGGAAGTTGATCGGATTGTTCGTGCTTTTAGTCGAGAGGCGTAAGCATTGCTTCGGACTTGCGTTCTCTTGTAACGATCCCACCACGATCCAAGTATGTAGTCGATGGAGTGGAAGATTTAGTTCAGGGAAACTTCAATGTCGCAACAGATGCAAACATAACCCGAAAATGAGGGTGGTGACACCAAGGACAATCACAGACACGAAGATCTCAAGCACCACCAAACTCGATGTACTCCTGTCACCAGCGATACAAGATGAATCATCTTCTGAATTATTGCGATCGTTGCTGTTTTGGATAACAGCATTTGCTTCGTCGCATATTGGCATGTCCGCGATACGCCAAATTCTAATAACCAACGTTTTTGGTCAATTTCTCGCGAACGATATCCTAGGCATTGTTGGAACGGGGAAGCTGAGATTGCCGGATTTTTGGCCTGGCGACTTATTGGGAACCAACGAACTATTTCCGGATATTGAAACTGCTGGACGACAACTCTATCGACTTTTTTACACGATGGTATCATTTGTAACGCTAGGAACGTCCTTCTCGATCTATTTAGCCCTTGGCAGCGACCGTTCAATCTATGGTAACAGCATGGATCTTGGTATAGAATCATGGATGGTTACCATCCCATTTGCGGTGGCAGTTCTATCGGGGGCCTTTTCCTTGACCTCCTTGGTCAACGCATCGCCTCTAGGTCTCATGCCGTCCTTTCGTGCACAGACAGGCGAAGAGACTAACGACGTCGGTGCTGCCACGGTACCCGCCGGAAATACACTTTTGGGGATAACGCGGGATGACGAAATGAAGTTCGATCCGAAGGGTCTGACCCGCATTACACGTCACCCGTTGATCCTTCCGGTTGTCCCTTGGGGTTTTGCAACGGCTGTCTTGGCTGGAGGACGACCAGCGGATGTCATATTATTTGGCGGTTTATCACTTTATGCCATTGCGGGTTGTTATTGCCAAGATCTACGCGTCTTGCGAGAGGAAGGATCTGTTGGAACCACATTCTTTGGTTCTGACGAAAGCAGGATTATTAATAAAAAACTGAAGAGCTTTTACGATCAAACATCCTTTCTTCCCTTTGGAGCAGCAGTGGATGGTCGGCAATCGTGGGACTCACTGACTCGAGAATTTCCGATCCTTCCCTTCCTGATAGCAATACCGTTCTCTTTTACAATCGAAACAGCGTTTCTTCGATTTCTAGGGGTCGAATACAACCTTTTTTGATAGAACCCATGTAATAGTCTTAGAATATTGGATTAGAATACAAATATGGTCATCGTGGAACTTTATCATCGGATTCAACAGATTTATTTTGCAGAATCGTCTTCGTTAGGAAGAATTTGAACTCGAAAGTCTGAAACTGGCAGAGCGAATCGAATGAGTCCTTTTTCACAAACTACTCACAAAGAACAAGTCCGCTGAACTTCTGACCTCCCACTTTCAGTATTCTTCTTCAACTGTATTCGCTCCTACAATATAAATGCCAATCATTGTCACAGGTTATTCGCGGTATAGTTCAAATGACTCTTTTCGCACACCGAATTTCCCCCCAACATAGATGAAAGGGTTACAAATGAAATCGAAAGTACCTTTGTCGAGTGATGAACTCCTCATCAATTTTGATGATAAATTGGTCTCGTCCCAAAAGACCTTGGCGTGGGCGATTGCATCAAAAGAAAAAAATCGCAATATGTGGTGGGTTGAGAAATCCTTGTTTCGGCCGATTGCATCACGGGCGAGTTTTTCAATCCATTCGTTCCTCACCGAAGGAGTCGTTGTAAACTTGTACGACTACGTACGTATCCTATTCTACGGTACCAAAGTTTTGAAAACAGCCTGCGCTCTTTCGAGTCACAGTTAATTGCGTGAAAACATGCTTTTCTTCTTGGGCCCTGGAACACATCATAGCAAACTTCAATTAAACCGGAAGAACCGCCTTGCGACAGAAATTTACAAGCATTTTTCCTTTTTTTACCTTGTCGTCATGAAATCAAAAGTTTTCTCATAAAATCAAAACACAATCAAAGCAAAAGCAAAACTTTCAAAAGCAAAAACCTATCAAATTAACAACAAACAAAATGGATATCCTTCAAGTCATCGCCAGCAATGTTCCTGTCACCCAAAGTGTTAGTTATTCTTGCGTCTTGACCAACACCTGGTCTGGAACAAGACATCCTGTGGACTACGCATCCATCTCGGGATCTGCCCATTGGACCGATCCTGTCCTTCTTTCACACAGTAGGAACTATGAGATTTGGTCTCCTGGAGCACTCGCTTCTCCCGGTGTCGAAGCCGTCGCTGAGGTAAGTTAACAAATTATAAATTTTCGGTCCGCATTGCATAAAATTGCCGTTGCAGGTTTCTCACCGAATGCTTTATTTTTCGACCTTTTCAACAAATGCAGGGAGGAGTTACTTCACTTCTCGAAGGAGAAATTTGCCTAGCGCAGGTCAAAGGAAAGGCAGGAGAACTTGTGATTGGTCGCAACCAATTTAATGCGATCGATCCACCCCAGGTGTTTGAATCTATTACATTGAACTCCAACTATCCCCTTTTGTCAACAATTACTATGGCTGGACCAAGCCCCGATTGGTTTACTGGAATATACAACTTCAGTCCTCTCGATCCAACGCAACAATTCTGGTATCAATCCTTCGAAATTGCAACGTATCCCTGGGATGCCGGAACTGAACAGGGCACCACTTATTCCATCAACAACAACCCCGAAGTCCCCCACCAGCCTATCTTCCGATTGACGAGAGACACGGTTCCTGCCAGCGGCATTCTTTTGGATCCAACCAGAACCGAGGTCCTGCCAGTGGCAACATGGAGCTGTGCCCTTGACGGCATCGGCAGTGGTCGTGCTCTCAAAAAGGAAGGGGCTGCCTTCCAGCCCGAGACCACCATCCAGTCTCTTTGCGGTGGCAATCGCAATCTTTCAGAGGAGGAGGAAGCTCCCAGTGCTGGTCTCCGTGGAACCACTCGCAATTAGATATTTATGGATATGGATTAGAACCGATAGAAATAAAACCATTGCAATCCATAGAACCGTTGGTCGTGATGCGGTTGGATTTTGGAAAACGATGACACAGCGAAGTGCGAGGGGTTCTGAGCATACCCGAAAACACGCTCATCGCAATTCATCAAACCCAAATGGCATACTCTAAATACTTAAAATACATATTGTTATTGAAAACAAATTATTGCAAGCCAGACGATAGAACTGTTCGAAGTTGATGCACGGTATCAAAAAAGTACTATTGAATCGAAACCAATTAATTTTTCAAAATCCTTGGATCATTCGAACTTTTCAATGCGGTAAGCTTGGTGCAGTAGATCGCGTCGTGAACCCTTTGCCTATATGCTTTCCATTTCTTTTCCCCGAGGAACGATGGTTGCATAAAAGCAACGGTATATGCCATCGCATAATTCGTGATTCTTGTTTGCATTCATTCCATGGTGCGTTTCTGCCCACATCATGCAACTTGTGGATGCATTCAATAGATACGGCCACAATCGCATTACGGTTGTCAAGTGCAGTGCGGTGCTAACATATAATTCTCGCGTTTGCACCAAGTCTCAAGTTCATTTTGTTAGTAGGTGGTACATGGTACTGTAGCTGCTCGGGAAAACCGGTGCAAACCAAGCCGCCGAGCCGGACTCTCTTCCATCCAACCCGAAATCGCAATTGGACGCTGCACACGGGTCTTGTATGCGGATGGATGATTGGAGCCGAAACGTTGCTCTGCTTCCCCAACGTATCAGCCCTACACCGTGGCGCCAACGTCCATGGATCCAATGGTTTCGTCACGCTCTGTATGCGTTCAGCCCGGACTTCTTTCGGGTCCCTTCACTGCGGCCCCTCGGCAGCTTCCCTACGCTGCTGTTCTACCAACCATGCCGGAAGATTGGAAATCCCCCGCCCGCGCCCGCGTCCCATGTGTCTCGCAGGGTTCCCCCCGAGCCCCTCCTCCGGCTGCTGTTTCCCGTCGTTGCTGCCCTGTCGATCTACTAGCCACGATGGAAGGTTCGAGATTCCCCTTCCCCGCCCGCGCCCTGGCATTCGTTCGCCCCTATCCCCGCCGAGGAGCTCCGATCGCTCCTGCTCCAGGTGCTCGCGGAGCTCCTGCTGCCTTTCAAGAGCCTCCCTGGTTTCGCGCTCGAGGAATTCCCGCTGCTTCTTGGCCGCCAGTGTTTCCCAATAGTCCAGGAGGTCGTTGGGAACGAAGGGGTCGTAGGGGTCGAGGATACGGTCGTTTTTGGCCACGAAGGAGGATTCCGAGATGGAAGCGCTGGTTTGACCTGTGTTCTTTGCCGAAGAGGATTGATCGCTAGTGGTTCCGGTGCCGTGGATGTCCACCACGACGGGGGGCCTGGATGGATCGTCTTCGTCGGTGGAATGAATGCTCTTACGTTTCGTGGTAGTGATGGTGGTAGTCGTTATCGTTTCTGTCCCGATGGACGGCAAATGGCTGCAGCTCTGGCTACTAGCGTTATTGCTAGTTTTCTGGGGTGCCGGTGCTGGGGCTTTCTTCCGTTTTGCTTTCATTGCGGCGGCGGGAACGAAGGCCATGGAGGTTCCAGATTTTCCAACCGTTTGCAGAAAATTGGAGGAAGGATTGCTGCTGCTCTTGGACGATCCTTTCTCTGTCGTGTTTGTGCCGGACTTCTTCTGCAACGGCTGTTTCCGAGGAGCAAACAAAAAATTGTTTCCCCTCTTTTTTGAAAGAGCCGCGCTTTGGTTCTTAGCATCGTTATCATTACTGCCTTCGCCTTTGCTGTTATTGTCTTTGTCGCTGACTTTGTCCTTGTCGTTTTTCGCAGCATCCTTCTTGGTCGACGGCAAGTCTCCAAACAAACCCCCGTACATGATGCCTGAGTGATATATCCGTTTATGCAGATTGCTGTTGATTGTCTTGCTTTTTTGGTTATTGCAAAACTTCTGCCTCTGATGCTTGATGGAAAGGGAGGGAGTAGTTGTCGCTGAAAAGGTTATGGATCGGTAGAACTGAGAGTCGGAAACCATAGTGTGGATGCACCTTTCTACGTTTCAACGACACGGTAAAATTCGAGGTACGACTGAGTAAGAGTACTAGTCTAGTACGAACTCGTACGTATTACAGTATTCAGTATTGGTATCCTCTCCTCCCAAGTACCTACCTGTAGTGCACAGCTGTTCGTTTTGGGTCCATACGTCATTTTAGAGCGATTTTGGCGTTAATTTAGAGTTAGGGATAATACTAAATCCAGTAAGAATCAAGCGATCTGATTGGCTAATTAGACAGATCAAAATATCGAAAATATCGAAAAACTGTACAGTATACTCCCCTGATATCCAATTTTCCCGTAGAATCCTACATCAAATTTGTACTAGGAATCAATATTTGCTTGGTTTTTTGCTTGTTTTGGCTCACGTTTAAATTACCACCAACACGGTAATGAAGCTATCCTGCTCTTCTTGAGTCTGTTGGCGTCACTATGGATGGAGCTGTACACATCTGTTACTTGGGAATGCATTGTCCACGATAGGATGGTGATAGCCATTAGCGTGGAAGATGTAGTAGTAGCAACAGACAATAAAATGGTTTGATCCACGTCCACGACAGTGGTACTAGGCGCTTAGAAAGCGCTTGTTCTTGTTCTTTGTAGTAGAACTGCTGCACTTGCCATATCGATGGTTCACAATTCAGCTAGAATGAATGAATTATCATCTACTTTTGCTAATTTGACAATGGGAAACGAAGTATCTACAGAAACTATTGCTGCTGCTGGTGCTGCTTCTGCTGCTGCTGCTGTTTCTTCTTCTTCTGCTCCTCCTGCTGCTGGCAGAAAGAAGCAACGAACGGAACAACAAAACACCAACGAGGAGCAGGGTCTCDGCGACAGGAGTTCTTGCCCCCTTGGCTCCCCTTCTCAAGATGGTAAGGACAACAATAACATCGAGAGAAGTGGCGCTATAGACCTCCTAGGCCTAAAGGAAAGACCAGCAAGATTCAACAAGGATGACGAAAATGGTCCTAAGAACTTTCAAGATGCTGCTACTAGTACTACTGCGACTGCTCCTACTCCTGATGAACCTGAAGCTCCTGGGGAAAAACATGGTTATAATCTGAGGAACAAGAATAATGGTATAAATGGCAACAAGAACAATCAAGATTTTGCTTCTATTGCTGCAGCGGCTGCTGCTGCGACCACTGCGGCAGCTGCCACTGCTGCCGCTGCTGCGGAAGAACAGATACAAGGAGCGCCTGAAACCAAAGAAGAGAAAGCTCTCTTGGAAGAGTGGAAGAAATTGTTAGCAAGTGATGATAGTGATGATGACGACGGTGATGAGGATAAGGATGAGGATAAGGATGAGGATGGTGAGGATGATGATGATGATGGTGATACTACTGATACGGAGAAGGCGCAGGCGTATATGGTGAATGAAGAGGAAGAGGACAACAAAGAAGAAGAGAAGAAAGACCAAAGGACGCCAGTGCAGGTGTATACGGTGAATGAGGATGACGAGTCAGAGGAGGACGACATGGAGGAAGAGGAGGAAGAGCAGGGGGGCCCGCGGAGAGTATCCAGTCGGATCAAGGCAAGGCAAGCGGCTGCAGCACAAGCAAGGAAGCGAGCTTCTTTGTTGAGAGAAAGAGCTCCTACCTCAAAAAAAGCTATGATTAAAAAAGCAACAAAGGCTGGATTAGATATTCGAAAAGCATTTAAGGCAGCAGGGAAGCTTGGAAAGCTTGATCGTGTCCTTGAGAGAAAAGGAAGTCAATCAGCCGACACACTCCGAAACAGGAAAGCGCGTTCCTTGCCCACAAGAAAGAGGAGTGAAGAASCAAAGAGCAAAGTGCAGGAGACACGAAAGGCTCACCAGGAGAAAAGAAAGGCACAGGAGGAACCAAAGGCGCCRGAGGAGGAAACAGCAGAAGAGACTCCAACCAAGAACAAGAGGAGCAAAAGAAGAAAAGTAGATACAAGACCAACTTCAGTGAACTGCGTGAAGGATCGCACTGTTCGAGCTAAGTTTGCTGTAACTGCAAAGCATCTYAGCRAATTGCAGYATTGCAGCACRTGGGAGAACAAGATCGATYGTAACGAGAAGCCCAAATCRCAGCACTTCATGTACACATATGATGAGATGGTGCAGAAACCCCACTGTTCTGAAAACAGCAGAACCAGAAGACCTGGTGGGCCTTCTTCTATTTTCCTCTGCCCAGAAGATTATGAATTGAAAGAATTGGGTCAACGACTAATYGCTGTAGGCAAAGAAATGATGAGAAAGARCGGARAAGGGTACCACTGCACTACAGATCCAAATGAATATCACGATCTGGTGTTTGGTGAGAAGATTAAGTTGAACCGTTAATTAATGATATTAGTAGTTGTGAATAATTATTTGTTGTGAAGCCTGCTCATCTAGAGTCTCAAATACTAGCAACAGTAATCGCTAACGCTGCTAGTAGCAGTATTCTTAGCAACCGCCCCCCCCTCTATGTTGAACTATCCATCACGTAGGAGTGACCATAACAACGTTGATAGCGACGGCATGCTTCATTGGTTTGACAATCATTTTCAACAGCAACCCAAGAGCATTGAAAGTGACAGCAGCCAGCATTTGCCTCGAGCAGGCTTGGTGCTTTTACTAACTAGTCGCTCCTATTCTTCATTTGACTTCGAGCGGATCAAAGGCCCAATTCTATTGTATTCATGCAGGGAAAACTTGAAGATTAGCCTCTCGTCCAATCCGGAACCAAAGTCTCCAGTGATCCTCATCCTTCCAAACAAATGGTTTCCATTTGCACTAGCGACTCGTCGAAAGTCAAAA